CTACCATGCCCTGCTAATTTTTTTGATTTATTGTAGAGATGAGGTCTCGCCAAGTTGCCCAGGTGGGTCTTGAACCTGCAGGCTCAGGCAATCCACCTCAGCCTCCCAAAGTGCAGGATTACAGGCTGAGCCACCGAGCCCAGCTTTTCTTAAATGTCTTAAATGAAGACTCTTAATAACACTTATTGAATAAGAAAAGGCTACAATAGTACAAACCAAAATGCTAAACTGAATATCAGACTGTTTTCTAGAAAAATATCAGACTGTTTTTTAGAAAAATCCAAATAGACATGGTATATACCACATTATAAGTTCCTTTTCTATTCTTCATATTACCTAAACCACAATTAGAAATATAAAAGGCATTTGAGGAAGAGAAGAGGAAGCTTATCAAAGCAGACTGATAAATAGTTATATACCATATGTACTTATTCCTACATATAAGAGTAAGGAACAGTCAGGATTTGAGGATACAAGAAGAGAAAGCACAAAACCACCATTTCTATCTACCACTGCTACCATCACCACCACCATCTTACAAGGAACATTATGGAAGAAGTTAGTAAGGTATGGTGGGGGTAAAAAAAAGAAAGCACAGATGTAATACTTAAAGTAAGGAAAAGATGTGTTCAAGATGTTCCGCCTGATCGGAAGAGCGTGTAAAAATGATTTGGACCTTTTCTATTATCGCAGAGAAAACATGTGAGTTCATGTCATAATTTCAAAGCAATCTGCAAATTTTTCCCATCATCACACCTCTGAAGTATAATCAATTTCAAAACAAATTACCATGTATTCTTGGTCAAACTGGTAAAATATTATCATTGTTATTCAGATATACAAGATATATAATTACTAAAGGAAAGACAAATAGCAGAAGATCTCCACAGCTGCATGATTCTTACCTGTTCACTCTCCTAGGACACTTGTCTGGTTTAATATCTACCTCATAGAGGTAGACATCAATCTTTGGGATTTCAACTTGAAAACAGTTAGCCAGCAGTTTAATGGGTTTGCCCATGGTGCCATAGCCAGGTCTTCTGGGCACCATGAGTAGGGGCTGGGCCCCAACGGGTCCTGCCAAAGAAAGGAAAAAAAAGGAGTCACATTGTTACAAGCTGCATCTGAAAATCTTGTCAACCAGAGTTATGTTAGAGTTATAAGTATAGCTAATAATGACTAAAGCCTAGTGCTGAAAGATGACATTTCTAACACTTCAACTTCCTTCATCTCAAATTTATTCCCTTCATTAAAAACAAACAAAAATTGTATGCCTCTGGAAAATTGTTCTGGAAAGGACAGAGAAAACAGAGAACAATTACACAGACCCAGATAAGCATGAGCAAGCAAAAGTCAGACTCAAAGAGTGAGATCAACAGCAAAAGTAAACTTGAATAAAGTAGGAGAAAATTAAGAACAAAAATTAAAATAAAAGCAATATATAATAAAAAGGATCAAGAAGGCACAAAATCATTATTTGAAAAGATAAACAAAGTAAATAAACTCCAGGTATGGATTTTTTTAAAGGAGGAAAAAGACTTAAATAGCCAGTATCAGAGGGCTGGGCTCGGTGACTCAGCCTGTAATCCCAGCACTTTGGGTGGCCGAGGTGAATGGATTGCCTGAGCCCACAGGTTCGAGACCTGCCTGAGCAACTTGGCGAGACCTCATCTCTACAACAAATTAAAAAAATAAAATTAGCCGGGCATGGTAGCGTGCGCCTGAAGTTCCAGCTACTTGGAAGGCTGAGGCGGAAGGATTGCCGGAGCCCCAGCAGGTCGAGGCTTCGGTGGCCGAGAGCGGCCACTGCACTCCAGTCTGGGCAACAGAGTAAGACTCCAACTCAAAAAACAAACAAACAAACAAAAAAACAGCCAGTATCAGAAATGAAGAAAATGATATCACTACAAATACTGAAGACATTACAAAGACTATGCCAACAAATTTGACAGTTTGATGAAACAGACAAATTCCTCAAGAAATATAATTTAGTGACACACAAATGTACTACTCAGTCAGGCACTGTGACTCAAGCCTATAATCCCAGCTATTCGAGAGGCTGAGGTAGGATTGCTTGAGCCCAGGCGTTTGAGACTGTGTCTAAAAAAAAACAACAACAAAAAAGCACTGTACATAAAATCTGAAAAGTCCTCTGTTGGTGGAAATGTAAAATGGTACAGCTACTTTAAGATAAATGGATAAATAAAATGGATAAATACACAACAGAATATTATTCAGCCTTAAAAAGGAAATTCTGACACATGCTACAACACAGATAACCTTGAGGACATTATGTTAAGTCAAATAAGGCTGTCACAAAATGACAAACACTCTATTGTACCTTGAGTAGTCAATTGCATAAGAAACAGAAAGTAGAATCATGGTTACCAAGGACTAGGGCATGAGCAAACTGAAGGTGGTTTAACAGATATTTTCAGTTTTGCAAGATGAAAAGAGTTCTGGAGATTGGTTTCATAACAATGTGAATGTACTGAACACTACTGAACTGTACACTTAAAAATGGTTAAGATGGCTGGGTATGGTGGCTCATGCCTGTATCCCAGTACTTTAGGAGGCTGGGGTGGGAGGACCACTTGAGTTCAGGAGTTTGAGATCAGCCTAGGCAACATAGCGAGATGTCATCTCTACGAAAACCAGAAAAAAAAATTAGCCAGTGTGATAGTGTGGGCCTGTGGTCCCAGCAACTCAGGAGGTTGATGCAGGAGGATCATTTGAGTCCAAAAGCTGGAGGCTGTGGTGAGTCATGATCATGCCACTGCATTCCAGCTTGGGCAACAGATTGAGACCCCCTCCAACCAAAAAAAGAAAAAAAGAAAAAAAAGGTTAGATGGTAAATTTAATGGTATGTGTATTTTACTACGTTTTTTTTTATTTTTTGAGTTAAGAGTCTCACTCTGTTGCCCAGGCTGGAGTGCAGTGGCATGCTCACAGCTATCGCAGCTTCGAGCTGCTGGGCTCAAGCGATCCTTTTATCAGCCTTCCAAGTAGCTGGAACTACAGGCATGCACTAAAATGCCTGGCTAATTTTTTTATTGATTTTAAAGATGAGGTCTCGCCAAGTTGCTCAGGCAGGTCTCAAACTCCTGAGTTCAGGCAATCCCAGGCAATCCTCTTGCCTCAGCCTCGCAAAGTGCTAGGATTACAGGCTTGAGCCACTGTACCTGGCCTCAGTATTAAATTTTTAAAGCTCAAAATATAGCTTTGTTAATCAAAGTTTAAAAAATAAATGAATAAACTAAAAAATACATTTAAAACAATCTGAAAAGTCCTCCATCTGAATAAATTAAATCCACACCTAAAAATATTTTCACACACATACAAAAAGATTCCAGATCCAATGGCTTCACTAGAGAATTATATCAAACATTTAAGGGGAAAAATAAGGTCAAAAATATTATACAAATTCTTTCAGAGAATAAGAAAAACACAAATATATCCCGACTCAATTTATGATGCCAGAAAAATTCTGGTACTTACTAAAACCTGACAAAAACATTATGAAAAAGGAAAATCACAGGCTAATCTCATTCATGAACATGCATGTAAAAATCCTAACAAAATGTTAAATTAAATCTAGCAGTATATCAAAAGAACGAGTTTATATCAGGAATAAAAAGTTGGGTTAACAACATTTTTATTCTTGTGGATGAAAGTGCATTAAAATGCTGCCTGAATCATTTGTTTTTATATTTTGCTCTCATGCACTTAAAGAAAATCTCTTTGTGGAGAGAGCATAATCTTTCCTGCTATCCTAGTCTGAAACAAGCAATAGCATAAAAATTCTAGAGTAGGCCATAGTTCTGGTTCTGCTAATTATCTAATAATCTGACCTTTGCCAAACAATTACCTAAGTCTGTTTCCTGATCTATAAAATGGAAATAATGCCTGACCTGTCTCTTTCTTATGAATCTTGTCAGGATCACATCAGAAAACTTATAATAGCTAAAATGCATCAAGCTTTAATCATGTTTCCCTGCAATGTGCTAAGCGTTTTTCATGCATTATCTCATTTAAACTTCACACAAGCCCTACAAAGGAAGGAGGAAAATGAAAAAAAATTGTGTAATATGTTACAGTTAGTAAGCAACAGAACTGGGATTGTAGCCTGCCATGCTAGACTCTGTTGTTTCATTAGTATATTTTGTATTTTCTTTCACCAATACCACACTGCCTTGATTACTGTAGCTTTATCATAAATCTTGAAGTTGGGTAGTGTCCGGACTCTAAATTCTCTGGGTTTTGAGAATTTAGAAGTGTTATGATCTGACTTAAAATTTTAAAAGGACAACTCCAGCTGCTATGTGTAAAATTATATGTAAAAGTAGAAGCAAGGAGATAGTTAGTAGGCTATCTGACGTTCAAGTAAAGATAATGTTGGCTAGGACTAGAGTAGTAGCAGTTGCAGGAGTAATGTGGTTGTGGAAAATATTTAGAAGGTAGGCCTGACAGAAATTGTTAACGAATTGTGGATGTGGGGCATGAGGGAAAAGAGTTATCAAAGTGTTTTGGTCCAAGCAACTGAAAGAATGAAATTATTACTTACTGAGATAATAAAGACTCAATGATAGCAAGTTTGGAGGAAAAAAATCAAGAGGATTCTTAAGACATGTTCAGGGGAGAAGTCCAAGGTGAAGGTACAAGCTGAGTGTCCTCAGCATATGTTACTTAAAACAACTAGATTAGAAGAGATCATCCAGAATGTGGCATGGATATAGAAGAATACCAACACCTGGGATACTCCCAGTGTTTAGAGATTGGGGAAATGAAGAGAAAACAGCAAAAGAACCAAAACAAAAAAACAGGCAACAAGGTTGGAGGAGGACTTGGAGGGAGTGGTACCCCAAAAACCAAGTGAAAAAAAAGTGTTTCAAGAAAAATAAGTTAATCAGATGTAGTTGACATGTCTAAAAAAAAAAAAAAAGGAAGACTTAGGAACTGCTGGATTTAACAAAGTTTTGTTGACCCTGACATAAACAATTTCAGTGAAGTGGTAGGGAGAAAAACCCTACTGAAGTTTTAAGTTCAAGAAGAATGGACTGAATCTGATCAAGCCTTTAGATCCACTAGCAGTTTACAGAAAATTCAGAGGAATATGTAAAATTAGATTGTGAATTCAGAACCATCAAAACCCAGACTGTGAGAAACTCAAAAAGGACACACAATTCATAAATTGCAAGAAGGAAAAAAAGGAGAGAAAAACATACTAATTAAGACACTTAAAAGACATACCAACCAATAACAATGTGTGGGACTTATTTGGATCCTGATTCAAAAATGAAAAAAAACAAAACACAGGCAAACTCTTTTTAAAAAGTAACATCTGGCCGGATTTGGTGGCTCAGCCTGTAATCCTAGCACTTTGGGAGGCTGAGGTGAGTGGATTGCCTGAGCCCATGGGTTCAAGACCTGTCCAGGCAACTTGGCGAGACCATGTCTCTACAATACATCAAAAATTAGCTGAGCATGGTAGCGTGCACCTATAGTTCCAGCAACTTGGAAGGCTGAGGCAGAAGGATTGCCGGAGCCCAGTAGGTCAAGGCTGCGGTGGCCGGAAGCATGCCACTGCACTCCAGTCTGGGCGTGAGACTCCAATGCAAAAAAAAAAAAAAGTAACATCTGAGACAAGTAGAAAATTTGAACAATGGACTGAAACATTTGGGATAAGGGATTATTATTATTTTGCTGTGGAAATGGTACTGCGTCTATTTTTTTTTTTTTTTTAATTTTTTGAGTTGAACTCTCACTGTGTCCACCCAGGCTGGAGTGCAGTGGTATGCTCACGGCCACCACAGTATTGACCTGCTGGGCTCACACGATCCTTCTGCCTCACTCTTCCAAGTAGCTGGAACCACAGGTGCACACCACCACCCCTGGCTAATTTTTTTATTTACTGTAGAGACAAGATCTCGCCAAGTTGCCCAGGCTGGTCTCGAATCCCTAGGCTCAGGCAATCCTCTTGCCTCAGCCTCCCAAAGTGCTGGGATTACAGGCTTAAGCCTCTGCGCCTGCCCTGTGTTTGTATTTTAAAAGAGCCCATATATTTTACAGATACTTAC